TGGAGCAGAGCGGCCGCCTCGCCCTGCACATCCACGGTGTTGCGCATGTGGCCATGTTCGCAGTCGAGCGCCTTCAGGCGCTGTTCAGTGGACCCAACTGCCGAGCGCTGGCCCTGGCATACACCCTGTGCGCCATGTGGTATCCCTCGCCGTACTATGACCCTTTCACCCGCGGTGCAGAACACTACGTCATGGACATGACCGTCGAAGAGGCCCAGCAGCATGGCCGTGCACCTCCGCCCGTGGACAAGTCCTGCCCGCCTGCAGCGTACGATTTTGGCAGGCTCGCCGGCTGTGCAGGTGGCGGGCTCCCGCCGCCTCCCCGGCACGCTGCTTGCCGCACACACCATGCAGCCGTCATTCGCAGCACGCTTACTCATACGCATAACGACACGTGCAAGCGACACGGCTGCCGTGGCACAGATGATAGCTGTGGCATGGCGTTCCCTCGTGTCCTGCGCAGCGCCTTCCAGTGGATTGGCACCGGTGGCCTCTTCCTTCTGCCGCGATTGGGCCCGAACATCATACCGCACATGCCAGCTGCAGCGCTGGCCTTCGGGTGCAACCAGCTGTTTACTCTGGCGTGCGAGGTGGATCGCGTCTACACGGCAGAGGCAGCAGCACAACTGGCCCGCCCTGAAGATGAATGGGGAGACTGTACGCTGCTGCAGCCTGCTGCTGACCGCGCCCGCGACTCTGCCTACTACAGCACGAAATACACTGGCAAGAGCATCAACGACAGCCAGGTGCAGCTGACGTGCAACACTCTTACCCGAGTGCAGGATTTCCTGCTGGCTGGAAGGACGCCGGATCCGAGTGCCAGTGGGCCCACCGCCTTTGGCAACATGTGTGCCACTGTGCATCGCATGACCGCTTCCATTACGGCTGGTATGGCGCTTGTCGCCATGAAGCTGGACGGTCATTCCACATTCGAGGCGACGTTCGAATGCGCATACCTGCAGGTAGACGCGTTCACAGCGCTATCTGCGGGCGCCGAGCAATCTCCTGAGGCGGCGACCACAGCAGCAGTACTGGTGGAGGCTGAGGAGCAGGAGGGGTACACGGTGACCAACGCCGTGCAGAGCTACGTGCTGCGGGGGGAAGAACTCAGCGGCCTGGACTGCAGCGTATACAACCTATCCTCCAACTATGAGGTTCGACATGTGCCGCCAGCTCAGCACCCGCACCGAGAGCGATT